ATTCTAGAATCTAGATTTATCTTGTCTGTTTGATATGTGTTTATTATTATTATTATTATTATTATTATTATTATTAGTGGTTTTTTACCTAATGGAATTTCGATTTAGTTACTTATTTTATACCTATATATGGACGTCATTGGGTCACGGGTCGTTGGGGTGCGTTTTTTTTTTATGCACTGTTCAGCCTTACAGGTATACGAGTATAGTGCATAAACCATAGAGTATATTATATATCATTAATTATTATGATTTATGACGTATTGGGTTTTATTTTCAGAATATAAACCTGCAGTGCAATTAAAATTATCATTATAGATTTTATACCTATGGTGCAAACTGCAGACCTTTATAGTCTCTTTAATGTTATATTATCGCTATATTTGATCACCAAAATGTTTTCTTTCCAATTTAAACAAGATTCAAACCTTCTTATTAAAGAAAAAAGTTAGAAAAGAAAGTATTGAAATAGCATAATCATTGAGCATAATTTATAATATTAAGTACCATGTCACATATTATATTATTATATATGCTGTACAGTGTATTTAATACCATAGTGTAGTTAACAGTATTCTATAAAAATAATTAAAATAGGCTATTGTAATATACTTTCTTATCAAAATATGATCTATTTTAAATTTAAAAAAAATATTGTAGATATTTATATAATATAATAGGCATATCATAAATCGGTAATGATAAACGATTTCAAAATTATTAACATACAATACAGTATAAGTACATAACAAAGTATTATAAAATAATACAATACATCTAATCGAAAAAACAATATTTTTAGAAAAATATTCGCTTAAGTATTTGGCATTTGCTAAGTTTTAATGTGTACATAAGTCATTAACCTTAAAGTCAATCATGTCACAAAAAGATTCAGTGGCCTTAGCATCTTTTTATAGTAAACATAAAAAGAAAAAGAGTATACAATTAATGATAATAATGGTCTCTTCTAATTAATATAAGCTTAGGTAAACAATTTAAAAAATATGATCATTTTAGAATAAAAATATATACATAACATAAGTATATAAGTGTGTACTTATTTTGTTGTTAATATTTTATTTTTAATAACAAGAGATCTTTAGCTATATTTCATTTTTAATTTGCATTATATATGACTTAAGTCCGTATAACTACTTAATCCTAGGTACATCCTATATTATATAATCTACATTTTTTATATATATATATTTTTTTTTTAAACGTCTATAATTACATAAAATATTTATTTAAAAAGTGTTTTACGGAAATTTCAAAATGTCTAAATGTTCTACTTTGATACATAGATTTCATATTACTTCTTTTGTGAAAAAAATAAGTGCTTGCTAATTTTCTTAAAAAGAAAAAAATCACTAAAATCAACAGTAAACATATCTTTTTTTCGTTAAAAAATGTTATTTATTCATTTGTAAATGAGGTTTGTCATGAATATTTTTTTTAGAACACGATGATTCATTACTTTCAGTTTTATAACGACAATATACCACTGACACAGTCATACAGTATGCACATGTGTCATGTACGAACAGCGAAATATGTATATCCGGGTTTTTCATTGAGAAATATATCCGTCTATGTTAAATATTATCAAAAACATCTTCTCCGTGTAATATCCTATTTTAATATTTGAGCAATTATTTAAATTGTTTTTATATTCTCTTTCAGCCTACTTAACTTAATAATTATTTCACTAAAAAAAAAAGTCATAGTAAATTATATACTATAATTTCTTAAGAAAAAAAACATTATCTTGAAAGTGGGAGTTAAAAACATTTTAACTTGCACAGAAGTAATGTATTGTTAAATATGATAAGTGATAGATAATTAATGTTTTAGTCTACTTAACAGGAATTTACTATTTAAAAAAAATTGAATATGGCCTAAATGAAAATGAAAATATCATATTCGAAAATACTATTATTATAATTACATAGCCAGATAAATAAAGATTAAATAGAGATTCCGGTGTCATATCAGAAGAAGAAAATTATGAATTTAGTTTTTTTTTTTTTATATGAGCTAGATAAGAAAGGTATCTTTTTATAGTTATGTATTTTTCACTTTTATAATAATTATATGTAACTGTGAGTTTTATTATTTTTGTACAATGTACGACGTACATCTATTAATATGAATATTAGAAAAAGATTAATAATCATTGATAATATGACGAGGAATATTACAACCGCAGGATAGCATAGCTTATTAAAACCATTCATGATATACATGTTGTATATTATTAACATTATTTTTTAATTAAAAAAAAAAATATTTTATTCGTATCCTATAAATAATTCTTGTTTTTACTCTACTCAAAAATGATGAAAAAAAATATTAAATAAAACCGGACGAACTATCAAAAACCGCAAGTCCTTCGAATAATATAGGTAGATCGTAGATATATCATCGGTTCGACCAGAATTAAAAGATGGGAGAAATGGAAACATTCCCGTTAAACATATATGCATATACGTATAATAATATAAGCTATAGTCTAATAAAGAATCCTGATTTGATGTTTTTTTTTTTTGGCGGTCCATGTAAAACACGTAACAGGTACTGTTATTCGGTTGAGTGTAATACAAATATTAAATCATATGGATATAGATAAGTAAAAAGTACGGTTATCTTGTAAAAATAAGATATTTTTGTGGAATCGGAAAAAAATTTAGTCGTTATATCACAATACACGTCCATCATCACACAACGCGAAGAAAAATAATTAGCCTATATTCTATAGAGTCTATAGTAACTGTCTAGTGTCACTTGCCGTTCAGCCTATCTATGTAATTACAATAATATGCATAAATAATTATAATATAATGCGTGTATACATTTAATTTATATATAATATAAAAGGTACCTACCAATATTATTATTATCTATTTTATGCTTCAATATATCATTTAGTTTCCGGGCTTGCGTCAGATGTATAATTCGTGAAAATAAAATATCAAAATACAATTAATATTCGTTTTTTTTTTTTTTTAATGTATCTAATAATTATACTTAATTAATGATAATAACGATATTTTACGGTTTTATTTACATGTTACATAATATTTTGTTACAATAAACTTCTTTTACAAGATATAGTCCTTTGATTTCAATAAAAATATAGTACTAAAAGTTTTAAATTATGTTAAACGGTATTTATCACAGCAGAGAAACGGTAAAAATTACTTTTTTTTCATAGAATTTCTCGATCATACATCAGCTGATTATATATATATATATACATACATGTGTGTGTGTGTGTGTGTGTATTATATATATATATTGTGAAAATACACAAAACCCGACTGGTGCATAATATCACCTATAACCTATATGTATATATTTTGTTATAACGGACGAACGTCAACATTCGCCCTGTATGGATATTACAGATATACGTATATATATATATATATATATATATACATATACATATTATAAACACGATGCGATATATTATAATATTATGATAATGATACAGGCAGGTACGACCGCGTCGGCAAGTGAGGTGGTAGAAAAATAATAAAAACCAGACCACAAGTCGGACACATAAAATCGGCGGCCTCCGACGGGCGACCGAATAATAACTGTACCTATATCATCATCGTAAGACGCGCGGGCGGCGGGTCCGGTTGTCGGCGGACGCAGCGGTGCGGTGGTATCGCGCGATCGCATTCTTTCGTCGGGTAGCCCCGCCGCTGCCACCTCATTCTCCAACACGAAAACATCTCTCTGGATAATATAATATAATAAAAATATGTGTGCGGTTGCTGCAACACCTATCCGACACCGTAAATATCTCACGGCAGGATGATAATTATGTACACCGGCCTAAATATTATTACGCTCGTGCAATTGTTTTAGTACCCACAGGAGTGAGCACGGGATGTGCAGGACGTGCGCTTACTACGCTTTGTGCGCTGGGGCAAACACTTTTTTTTAGAACTCGTGGTATGGACAAAGTTCCAAAACAACTACACTCTTTAGGAAAAAAAAATAATAACAGAATTTACGGTACGATCTATATTGCGTTCATCGATCGTGTGACGAGAATAATAAGAAATTATATCCTTTTCAACAGATGCGTCTTCACAAAAACATGTTTTAATTTTTCGGCGTGAAAAAAAAAACATTGAAAACCCTATTATTTATCTCCTAATTAAATAACAAGCAGTGACAATACAAACGACTATCATAAATATTTCATAAAGCGGCAGATACGAGCAATAAACATGTTTTAGAGACACTTATATTTTTGCAGGGAACACGTTTACCCTGCGACCAAAGTCTATGCTCCGTTTTAACTTCAAGAGATGAAATAATAGAAGTCTGGCGTCTGGGTGCGCTTAGTAAACAGTTGGTACATACATAAAAAGTCCTGTAATGGAGGAAGCTGTTCTCTGCTAGTTTGTTGTCTCATCAAATATAATCAGTACATTGTATTTATCTTTATTCAGCGTACATATTAACCAGGTACTGATTTACAGCGTAATCTAAATCCGAATATGATGCTCGACCTGTATACAGTAGACGATAAATAAAAATCGAAAAAAATCTCCTCGTATTTATCGTACAGTGTACGTTATACGACCATTTTTTAATTTTTATTATGAATTCGTATTATTTACTACCTGCAGACACCGGTACTCAGCCAAAGAAATAAAAACGGTTCGTCTGGCGCGATCGTTAAATTGAATCTAACAACAACAGCAACAGCTACAATGATAATAAATAATTGTGTTAAATTACATTCACACCCTACGCGTGTCTCCGCCTCTCGGCCGAATAGTTGTATCGTTAAGCAATACAATAATATTAAGTCTCTGTAGATTTTTCATTTTTACAACAATTTATCCATTTATTTTATTGGCTGTTGATAAACCCGACAAAGCAAAACGAAATCTATCCATGAACATTTTTTTTCGGACATTACATCGGACCACGACGACTACCTGCGCCGCGGTGGCAGTGTTAGACGTCGCGCGGCAGTCTTCTTCTCCCCGGTCACCGGTGTGCAGCTCGCGCCCGTCAGCCACACGGTTGTAATAATCGCTCCGCGGCCGTCGGACGCAGAGCACTAGTCAATTCCGCCGCCGCCACTTAATGTCGTTGTTTGTCACATAACTTCCGTACGGATGCCATATAGCTACGAACAAACACATATTTATACATCATTAACCAGCGGTTATAGCGATCGCCCACAATACAAAAATACGTGCGATCTATACTAACGGGACGATCGATCGGTCGATTTAAAAATAACAATCGTGAGTACCACTATATATAATATGTATATATTATAATAAAATTTAATATCGTTTAAATATGTCATTCATTCGAAATATTAAGTAAAAATATAATAATAACAATAATATAATAATATGCGTCTCGTTGTTATTGTGTTTTGCGATTTGGGACTGATAGTTCAAGCTCTTGACCGAACAACACATTACATACAAATATCATCAGGATGCCTATTTTATCGCTTGTCTTAATCGACTTAATGCTACAACGTTCAGAATTCTTATTTATTACTAATGTTATTATTGTCGCTATAACCAATAGAATATATACTTAGGTAGATACCAATTTAAATACTACCTAATACCTGTAATAAATTAATTTCTTCTCGCATAAACTGCACATGATACAAATTTTTAAAAAGGATCAGAATATTTTTTCTCAATATAATGATTTAACATTTAATATTAAAATATTTCAACGATTTTCTGAATCAAGTTTTTTTTATATATATATAAATATAATACATAGATAATGTGTTAAAATTTAATAACAATATAAACTGAAAATTGTTCTTCACACTTTTTCTATTGTTATTATTACAATATATCCATTTTTCTTATTTTGGTTTTTTATTAAAATAAAATTCATATTAAAAAAATCTGTTTTTTATTTTTTATTATTATTTACTCTTATTCTTATACATACGAGTATATAATCGAAGGTTTTTGACCTGAAAATAATTTGTCCAATTCCATCCGGTTTTCATGTCCAATACTTAACCACCGGAAAATTACCGGTCTTAGTTTGTATTCAATTTTTTTGATCATCAATATATACATAAATTAGTTTTATTTACATTTTTTTAATTATTAATCTAAAAGAATTTTCACAGATATCCAATGCTAATTTATTTAAATAGTTTTCAACTTAATTGTAATATTAAACATACGTACAGTTTTAGCGATTTTATGTGGACAGGTGCAAATAAGTCACCTAAAAACTTAACATAACGTGACGAATAAATTTATTAACAAAAAATGTGGATATCCCATAATTGCAGAATTTATTGTAAACCCGATAGATGACTATTAGGAGTTTTTATATAAACAAATTTTAAAAAATAAACACAAATATTTATTTTGATGTAGATAAATTGCAATATATTTTATAAAAATAAAATTTAAACAAATTGTTAAGTATGAATTTTACAGAAATAATCGAAATATGACAATTCACAATAATTATACAATAATACGGTATAAATGTATTAAAGATAATAAAAATCGCTAAAATCTATTTCAATCCGTTATTAATTTATGCATTGATTGCTTTTAAGTTATATCTAGTATTTATACAAATTAATAAAATAACAATATTATTAATGCATTTTATCATAATAGTTGACTTTTAAATAAAAGACATCTACTAATGTCTTATTACCACATTCATAGTATTATAAAAATTATATACTAACAAATATACACTTAGTTATTCAGAAATAGAATATTTAAGAAAAATTTTCTGAATATTTAATATATTACACTACTATGGTAAAAAATTATCACAACAATAGTACGTAAAGTGAGATTAAATTTACTTTGATCACAACTAATTGGATAATTTCTCGTATTAGAGCGAGATTAGAAAATGTAAGTATAAAAAGTCTTCTTTTACGTTGTTTATATCTATGGTTTTATTCATTACGATAAATTCTTATACTTCATAAGAATGTGGATTTCGATAATAATAATATTAAAAAGTAATCTAGTTATTCCAAGCAAAACTTAAGAATAGAAACCGAATAAGGAAGAAAGTGATTGTGGAAATACACACATTTCTCGCATAAAATATATATTTTTATGCTGACTCTAGCTTCGAGGACATAATTCTATTAAAACCGATTATTATCATAAAAATTCGAAATTTTCAACATGAAACTTATTTTGTAATTTCAAATTTTGAAATGGAATAAATAATATGACACAATTCATCATATCTCCATCATTCTAATAATTTTCAATATTTTAAAGTAAAAATGAAAAAAAAAATATGTAGAATTAGAAATAAAATGAATTTTTGATGATAAATAGATATTAGACATGTAATAATGATGTCAATATTAGCTACTATGAAATATAAGTGCACATTTCCAATTTAGTGTTACTACGATTTCACCATTGATTTTAGGATAAAATGATGCATTGTAAATTTAACGCTTGCTGCGTGGAATAAAATGTGAAAAAACGAATTCAAAAGTCGATTATTACTGTGCTATTTTAATTGTAACGACAACACAACAATACGCCTCGACCAAGAGAACAATAACAATAATGCATACGTCAAAATTCGAACAAATGCAGCGTTTCGAGATCCTATTCGTCAAAATAGTTAACAGTTTCGCCGTTTGCGTTTCCCCGCTCTTCCGTATAAGACTTAAACGCTCGCAAAGATGTAATACGCATATGAGTGACTTTCGTTTGAAACTGAGGAAAAAAATCAATCTATTTTAAATATTATGAATAATACAATAATATAATGATATGATTTTAATTGGTTTCGGTTGGGTCGTTAAAAAGTGGGCCAAAAAAAAAGTGTAGTTCAATAGACGCGTATTGAGGACAATAATAAATTGATGTATATATATAGACTGAAAGGTAGGTAGGTAGGTGGTATTAGGTATATTACACGAGTAGGCAGTGTGTTTGGTCGGTCGAATGAATATGTTATCCACTTATCGCCACACAAAGTTATAGATGTAGTATGTACGTATATAACATACGTGTATAACATACACCCAACTACTTGTACGTATACAAAAAATATCTGATATATTATAATGCGTGTACCCTGGTTATTAATAATCCGTAACCCTAACCTACACACGTCGTTTCGTCCCGATTATAACCGTACATACTAAAATAATACGATATGAATGTATGATTATGTATATATTATATTATACACACGGCTCTGCTGCATTTCCGTGTAACAGGTTTTTGTAGCACACTCGTTATGTCGAGGCGCCTACCTATTTAGTAAATATTATAGTATATCGTAGACGCCGTCTCGGGTTTCCGGTCGTTCGCAGACACCGCAATAACCGAACTAAATAATAAAACATAATAATTCAATAATACTGATTTCATTGACTTCAAGTAGAAATACACGCATGACAAATTTTTCGTATGTTTTAAAACTATTTTACAAGAATTTTATGACTATGTATTTTCTTACCCGCCAATGGTCGTAATTAAATAACCGGCGACAATACGTGCAATGTACGCGTATAGGTATACGAGATTTCGATAGAGTATGGAACCCATAATTTAGCCTACGATTTGTAAATATGAAAGATTACACCAAAACTTTAATTACTATGTACGCTTATACGTATAGTATATTACAATCTATACCTACACTCTATAGAGATGGTATCGTCGGCAATGCTATTCCGAAGGCAAAATGTTACATAGACTTACATATTTTATTTTCAAACCGTGGACTTTCGCATACTTTAACAAAATAACAGTACTTAGATATTAAGCACAAATAAATATGTATGAAATAGAAATATACAGTATATCGATAGACGGTAGATAGGTAAGGTTATTGGGTGAAAAAAAAAATGTATTGTACGAACTACGAAGTGAAATTACGTTTATTTCTAAATATTTTCTGTGCCATTTAGATATGTTAACGAGTACACTTATATTGTCATAGGTATTCAAAAAGAAAGTTGTGACAATATATGTATACTATAAGGTATAATATATTATTATGTACGCGCGGCACATATGTAGGTAAACGAACGTGCGTTCTCTTTATGGTCAAGGTCGTGCGTGATTGACGGTCACGTCGTTTCTTTGTTTGTTTTGTTGTGTGATTAAAAAATAATAATAATAATAATAATGACAGTAAATTAATAAATAATCAGTGTTTACCGATTACTGTTCTACCAAAACAGGTACCTATAAATTATTCTCAATCTAATATAATTTTTCAAAATCAGCTGTTTACTCCATTTTTTCAGTTGCAAAGAAATTTATGATCCGTTCTGTTTTCAGTTTAAAATGGAAGGGTGGCGGCGTCTGAAGTTGATGTGCGGTGTCTTGGTGTTATTATTCGCTGCGTGTTCGGCCCGGCCACAAGATACCGCCGCCGTCGCAGCCACCGTCAAAGAAGTGCCGCAGAGACCTATGACCTTGACCAATGGCTACCATCCATCATCATTTCCGTTCAATAATGGCGAACCATTCGTCGTTGATCCCAACTCAGCTTCCATTGATTTCAACACTAGACCACCCCCAAGCGTGGCTCAAAGGTCCGATGACTATTATGATTACGATGCTACAAAGTTAGAAGAAGTGCCGTTCGACTACAAAGGCGATCCAATTGACAGGAAGGACGTAGCAGGCCCAAGTCTGCTGCCTAGGCCCAATGATATTGCACCCACTAAAAACAAGCAGACGGATATCTATCAGTTCTTGAACCTACCCGTTAAGTACAGCTCTAGTGATCGGTTTCCACTCATGTCTAGCTCATACGCCAACACAAAAATCCAAGGGTCCGGGGGGTCGTCACCATCGTCACCACTCAGCAATCACAAGATGCCATCCACTTCAACTCAAACGCCAACCACAGTAACTTCACCCACCACTACTACTACATCGTGGTACAATACCATCAAGTTGACTACCACCAGACCTACCACTGCCCCAACTCGCGCCCCGACGACTACCACCACTCCGGTCCCAGTTCCGCAGCAAGAGGAATATGAATACGATTACGATTACCCTCACCCACAAGAACCGACGTCACACCATGATACCACTACCACACAAGCGGCTATTAGTCCCACGACCACTACTTCCACCACCACCACTACCACCACCACCACCACCACGAAACCGACAACAGCCGTTCATCTTAACAATTCACCAATACCGTCAGCGTCGTTCTTTATTACTCCCGAACGGTCCACTGCTGCCACGACCGTATCATCGTCTTCAACCACAACATCATCAGCTCCGATTACCTCGACGGTCGTCAACAGAACTACGGGAGCTGTACAGGTAACTACTGTCAGACCAGAAATAGATTCCAAACTAGACGGAACATCATTTGCTGATTACGACGACACGATTAAACCAGCGGAAAAACCACATTCACAAGAGATGTATGGTCAACACTTCAAACCTTTAAACGAAAACTATCAGTTTGGCGACAAACCGTATCCATTAATCACTAACAGCAAAGTGCCTATGACGTTCACCGCTCACGTATCGTCTGGTATATCGTTGAACCAACCAAAAGAACACTTGTCGAGTATCAAACCATCCCCAGCACCGGTGTCGGAAGAATCGGTATACTCATCTAGGCCTCTGCGCCCAGAAAATATAGTAGATACAGTTAAAACGGAGGAAACTGCTGTATATGAAAATTCGAGAGTGACGTTTAATAACGGAAAGCTTGACCTTCCGATAAGTTCAGAACTGGCACCGACATATTCAAAATCTAAACCACCAAAATCGAATGGAACTCCTGATCAGTTTGAGACAGCTTACTACAAAGTCAGACCAGATAATTATAATACACAACAGCTTCCCAGTACGGTTTCAAACCGACCTATGAATCCATTAATCCAAAGTCGCCCTTATCAACCAGAGCCGCCTGTAATAAAATCTTCCCAGGACATACCTAGAAAACCGGTGAATACAGAACTTCAAATGTCTCAAGGACGGCCGCCACCATATCCGGTACAACCGGATGTGTATGTCAAAAGTAAACCTCAATACACTCCTCCTCAGAGCCAACCAGATACATCTAAGTTTAAACCTCCCAAACATGTGATAAACCATTTCATAAAAACTCAGCCGAACGAAGACAACAAAAGCTATGCACTTCAAACTTCTTTTTCGATTGGTATGGATGGAGAACGGACAGATACGCGTCCAACACAAGGCATCGGGCAAGTTTTAATGGTTGAAGATGGTTCTTCTGAAACTATTGTTAACCATACGATACCGACAAAAACCAAAGCGACTACGTCAATTCCACTCGTTCCTCCGCCAAGACCAATTCAAAAACAACAACCGTATCCACGGCCTCAATGGGAGAACGTACCAAAACAACCAACATATTATCCACCTCCGAAACGCGATGGTGCCATACCTCCACCACAAAGACCAAATTTACCCAATATCTTACCTCAATTCAGACCAAACGCCAGAGTTGATACACCACCAACGGTACCTCAATCGCACTCCGCGACCATTGAAAGGGTTCAAATTCCAATAGATCATTTAAGACCTCCACCCCTTCCAAAACCTCAATTTTTAAAAGTAGACAGAAATGATGATAATGTTGATGAAGAAATTCTAAATATACCAGAAAAAGAAACAAGAATTTTGCAGAAACCCGGACCACAACCAGCTAAAGTGACTACTTTACAAATGATCCAACACGGAACTCCGACAAAATTACGAGACGATAACAAAGAAAATCCTGTGCATATTATTTATGCGGCAAACACTCCAACAAAGCCATCTGAAAAAATAATAGATGATTCCGTAATACTAGATGTAAATGACAGATCTGATGTTCCAATATTAAAAACTAAAACTACTATTATCAAGCCTACAAAAATGGACTTCCCATACCAAATCGTTAAACCGGATGAAAATCAAAACGGATCTTCGTTGGAATACAATGCATACAGTCCGACCAAATTGGATACAATCAAACCAAGTATTGATCAAGAACTAGTACCAAACCTTCAAGATTATGTTCCAATCGTAACTCGTGATTCTACTTCGAACATTGCGGTTTCACAAAAACCAATTACAGCTACGTTAAAAACGTCAGAAGATAATCATAAGACAGTTGATGAAGGTCACAAACCACAATTACAAAATTTTCAAATACCCTTCCAGCCAAGTTTAAAATTACCTGAAAATAATAGTGGATGGTCGGTTGTAAGAAAATCACAAATTGATAACGCTTCAGAGAGAACATATGAAACTAGTGATGTAGTTGGGTCTACAGAGAAGTTCGATCCAGATAATTTTAAACCGCAATTAGTTGGAGGTTTTATGCCAATAAGTCCTCCTTCAGAAGATGCGAAAGAAAAAAAAACAGCTGAACAATCTGAAAGGGCAAAAAGATATATAACAGATTAAAATAATATTTTATATTTATAACATTTACAAATCCGTTGCAATAAAGTATTGAAAATACTCAAATACATGAATTACATAAATAAACATTTCATAGACCCATAACTAACATATTCTAAAATGATCACTCTGCAAGTGAATATTTATTTATTTATTTATGTATATAATGTATAGATAAAAGTAGATACATAGACTAAAGTAAAAATATAAGACCAAACAGTATTTAACTAATTGTACAATTTAAATTACTTAAAAATAAGTACATAATATGTACCTAACATTAGTATGTGCATGAAAAATACTTAAGTACATATTGAATTATAACATAACTTCACATTAAACGATCAACTAAAAATGTGCTTGCCCAATAAGTCAAATGTTTACATTAATTTAATATAATTATTCATCAACAATATTTATTTATAAAATATTTCCTAAATATTGTAAAAACCATGTATAATGTATATGTATATATATTTTTATTTTTATTTTACAAAAATATTGTAGACATCCTAAATGACAAATAATGAAATTAAGCTCAATAATTATACTATTTTATTTTTTATATAATTTAATAATACTAAGAATTAATTATAAGCTATAATGCTAAGTATTATATATTATATTATTGTATTACCTATAACTTAGAATAATTTTATGATTTATACACAAATTGTTTTATACATTTTATTTATTTTAATTTCATAGCAAAAACATAAATATAATTGTTTACACAAAATATTTCAAATTTTTTTTTTTTACAATTAAGACAATTTATACTTATTTCCAGAGTAAATGACAATTTAAAAAAGAAACAAAAATTAGTCAATATGTATGATCATTAATTTTTTAATAATTAATTAATTAATGATAATTTATATATATAATTATGATTAAAAATATGGTTGAAATGATGTTTTAATTCTCATAATTAAATTGAAATAGAAAACTTTCTATTTAAATTTTAAGAACATTTGTAATAATCATAATCTTGTCCTAATAACTATTATGACAAATAACAGTTAGAGAACTCACTCTACTATAGAGCACATACTACAAAGTCTATTTAATATAATGTCGAATATACTTACTATATTGTTGATAAGTACGTCACTAGTATAATAGGTGTTAAATTTTAATTTAGTGATAAATCATTGCATACATAAAAAAACGATACTAATTCGAAACAATCTTTTGGTCTAAAGATAATTCTTTTAAAAATGCAAATTACTGCTGATATTAAAACGCCCTTTTTAAGGCCAACACATATCATTATTTTGGGAAATGGTAAGCTGCGGCAAAATTTACCTTTTTCTAAAAGTCGATATGTAAACTAAATTAAAAAAAATTAAGATTATACAATCTGCGACAAAACTGATAAGGTACATCATACAAACTGCGGCAATGTATTTTATATACTTTCTATATATACCTACCTATGTGTACCTATGTACGTATATCATTAAATTAATTATGTGATGTTGCGTCTTGCGTACAAATTGATAAGGTAAATTTAAATGTACTTTTAAGTTTTAACGAAACATAGAAAAAAAATTAGAAGTGTAGAAGAAGAGGTAATACAAGAAAGAAATAAAGCGACAACGCAAAAATACAAATTTATTAATATACAGCAATAAATAAAAGAAAACGGACAGATTTCAAAATATGAATTTTTGAAAAAGGTATGTTTTAAGAATAAACATATTGCATATTATATTCACACGTTGGTTCTATATCGGATAATTTCATATTAGAAAACATTGTAATCAAATGAATAGTATAAATAATAATTATTAGATGTTATTAATTTAATGTGTTTAATAACATAATAATACTAAAGCTATGCAGTTTAAATGACATGAATTTAAAAATTTTGAGACAGTTTTAAAACGTTTAAAATTTGAAAATATTGTCAGGAATAGAAGCAGTACTGGAAAATAATGTTTTTAATAATTTAACAATCTACATTACGTGATATGAATAATACATACATCACGTTCTTCCTTGTAATCATCACAAATATTTAGTTTTGATATCTTCTCAGTCAAATCATTGATCTAAATAATATTATCAAATTTTAATGATTGAGTATAGATATATATTATTATACTGTTATACATGACATATTATATGAATCACGAACGGAGAAGATACAATGTTTTATTGACAAATTCTATTTTATTAGGGAAAAAATTATATAGAATATCTAAATTGTCTAATTTTTAAACAATATAATAATTAATAATATAAAGATTTAATTTGAATTATATGTACTGAATGTACGGTGTTGTAAGACTTTTTAGTCGATTTTGTGACGTCGAAATAAAAAAATTTTAAATTTAAATCACCCCCACTATTAATTAATATTATTTTCATTAATGAATTAGATAACTCTAAAGAGTTTGAAGTCTAAAGGTTATCCTTAAAATTTAACAATTTATATAATTACATTAAAATAGTAACCTTATTTAAATATTAATTTTTTTAATCATAAGCTTTAATACATTAATACGTTTACTCTATATTATTTAATTGAATAATAATAAACTATTCGCAGTAGATCTTACTGATTGTTAACGACGATTTGTATACAAGTGTTAGCCTTTATAATATAAATTAAAATAATTATTGATAATAAATTCTTATAATGATTGATATAATTATATGCTGACTAAAACGATTCATATCGATAAGATTTCTTAGGCAAAAAAGTATGTTTACTAGACAAATTATATATTTGATTGGTATTAGTACAATAATAAAAAAAACTAAATCTCTTTTATTAAAAATATATATAAAATTAATAATTTAATTTCACTTAATATGCAAATAGAAAGGGTTGTATAGTAAAATACCTGTAGTATAAACAATGATTAATACAGAGTAGGCTGCATCCGTTGCACCTTATTTGATAGCATAAATAGTTAGTTTTTTTAAATAAATTTACCTAGGTATGTTTGTCACTACTGTATTATTTAATAATTTATTGTAATATAAGCAGGAGTGTTTATCGAAAAGACACTCGAGAGCCACTCAATATATTAATGAATATGGAAGAGCCAAAATGAAAAGAAAAAAAGTCATATATTAATATCAATAATACTCGATTGTGGATGATTCTTATCAGGGTGACCTTTTTAATAACACATTTTTATTCCGTACGATTATAAGAAATACTTCGATGATATAGGAATTTTGAGTGTGTCAAATGTAGTATAATACAACTAATACAAGTCATTTCTGTTAAATACTGCAATAGGTATAGTGTTAACCGGTATAGTATAGTATTTTTATTTTTATTTATTTTTGAAACTATAGAAAACTGTCAAATTATATACCATCAGAACGTGGCAAAGAAGTAATTCTACACAAAACAAATACTGATTTAGCCGAAATCGAAAATATGAGATAATAAAATAGTTATCTACAGAAAAATATTGCAGTGCAAGTATTTTAACAAACAACAACATCGGACAAAAAATCCAACTGTGAATTTTCCGGTGAACATATACTAGTATGTACCTACTAAGAACTCTATACAAAAAATCGAGAACTGCTAACTGGTGTAAATGATGCTCACAAGACATTATCCTAATGATAAGCCTATTATCAAATTGATAATCATTAAGCTTAGTAAACTACATCACACAACTTGGCAACGTTTTACAGATATCGTCCGGAATCGTGTCATTTCTTTGAGTACAAAATAATATCTTTAGTCATATAATAGTGATCGTCCGCAATCATGTTGTGAATAAGGTAAAGCGTCCGCAATCATGTTTCACCCATTAATATATATAATATACATGACTATCGTAAATAAGATTAGATATAAAATGTAATACAATTTGTAAAATTCGAAACAATATAAGATATTAATTAATAATTAATAATAAATAAATTGCTTAAGTATATATAGTTATGTTATACATCTTTAATGCTATTATAAATTGGACTCTAAATATTAATTAAATACTATCAGTTGATATATCCTTTTCAAATTTGTATCCATTTCTCAAAAATCGAATACTCAACATCAACATTATAATGTATAATTATTATTATATAAATACTATTTTAACTTATTAAAAGTTATGACCGTTATAGGTACAAACATAAATACATTAATATCTGTAACTGATTTATGATAACAATGTAGTCTGTCGTATACCTCTGAGTTTTTTAGGGATCTGTGTTCGTCATCAAATCTCGTCTTATCATATAATAATGAAATATTGAAATGTAAACAACAAAAATTATATTAAAAGAAAAAGAAAATGTTATAGAAATTTCAAGACAAAATCAAATATATTTAATAAATATATATCGAGCTAGTATGTATTATACCTATGTATTATCAACTATTATTTATTTTAAATTATTTTGGATGATTTAAAAAATTTTTATGTAAACTATGATTATTTTTTTTTTATTATTATTAAAAACAATTTTAACTGTGCGGTAGTAGAAATTGGTACTTACTTCGTCTTCTTCGTTATTTTGGAAATCTTTGAAGAGACAAGCAAGAAGGTCGATTTTTGTATTGTGCCAATTTCATGTAGCATAAATCAAAACAATTAATACTTAACAATAAAAAAACATATTGACTTGTACAATTACCTTCAACATTGTGACTTTTTAATTTTTTATTGATGCAATCTTCATTATTGCCATCATCAGTTCGCTTCCGTTTATTCTTCATTTTAGAGTCTGATTTTTAGATAAATTATTCACAGTAATTAATTTTATGAGAACAATATAAACAATGTATGTTTATTTCACATTAAAACCGACCGATCAACAATCTCTTTAGTTGCGCGCTATTTTATTTTCAGCCAATTATAAAATAAACAGTTATCGTCATATTTATTTTATTATATATTATTTTTTACATAAATTCACGCTCATAATAAATATCATCTTTATACTTGAATCAAGCGCAAATACCTATATTTTTATAATTACATTTAACATCATTTATATACATTTACATTAAATATATTATTATTATTATTGTTATATGTATCAATAACAATGTAGTTATTAGCTTAACATAAATATTTACATTATATTAAATTATGCATTTCAATATATTTTTTTTAAATCTTAAAAAAAGATCCGTACAGTATTGTATATCAGCAAATGCTTTAATACTTTAACAATTTAAAAGATTTAGTTGTTTTTGTAAAACACAACACTTTTCATCTCTTAC